TATTTTAACATTCCAATGAAGAATAATATTTTTTAAGCATAAATATGAACATTCATGATTTTAATCAATTTCCAAAATGATTAAAACTCAAAGTATGTTCACTTTGGATTTTAGCAAGTCAAGATTCAATCAATAAACCATTAAAGATTCAATATTTGACTATTTTAAGGGTTCAAAAATCACATTTAATATAAACTCATAGATTTCAAGCAATCTAATTGCAAAAATGAACAATTTCCAAGTTTATGTGAATATTAGAGCAATCCAAATTAAGAAACCAAATCATTTAAAAAAAACATGCCTAATAAAGAATATAATTGTAGTAGATTAATGTCATAATCAATCACATAATCCACTAATTATATGCAATAATTAATCAAGGTTTAAAGATTTTAAAATTTTCATTCTAAACGAAAAACCCTAAAATAAATCACATTTCTGGGCAAATTTTGGCTTCTGGAAGCCTTTTTTTTTAACCAATTCACTTCGTGGGTAGAGGTTGATTTAGAACATCGATTCCACACAAAAACACTATTTTTGAGTCGAAATCTGGGTTCGTAGTCATAAATTAGCAATAAATCGATTTTATCAAATAAAACCGAGATCCTAATCTAATAACGTTGCTAATCAAGATTTTTAAATCTATTTTAAATTACCTTAATTAATTTTTAGTCGCAAAAATTAAATGCACGAGGCTCGTAATACCGTTGTAGGGTTTTACGGTGTGTGAACACCGCGCAAAACCAACACCCGCCTAAGGACCACATGCACAAATAAATGCAACTAAACTAAAACATGCATATAATTAATAAAACAATAAACACATAAGAGAGAGGGAGAGAGAGAGAGAAGGGAAATTAAAAGACGGTCATACCATTGAAGCGTTTTTTCGACTTAGCACGAACACGAACCCACGAACGGAGCTAGAGCCTCAAATGTGACTCCTCAAAAGAGGTCCACCTACGCGCTCGAAAACTTAGTCGATATTACCAGCTAGGATAATACCAACACTACTAACAAGAGGATCTCTTGAGGTTTTCTCAATGGAGATTCTTTTTTAGAGTTCAACTCTTGCTATTCAAATCCCAAGGCACGCTTGGGTATTATAGGAGGAATATCTTCATCCCCTTGATATTCCATCAATGTGGGACTTTGCAAAGTTGAGAAATAAATGCATTTAATTTAATTCTAAAATAAATTAAAATGCAAGAAGCAAATATTCAAACAACAAGTGGCAAGCAAGTGGGAGGGGTTAGGTGAGGACCACAAGGAGAACCACATGGCCTCCTTGCTCCCCCAAGCCACCAAACCCCACCAATAAGGTGTGGCCAAGCTGGCGGCTGCCTTGAGCAGTAAGGCCTGCCTCGCTAGCAACCTTGTGCTCAGCCTTGTGCTCTTGGCTGGGTCGGCCAGTAAGGCCCACACTGCTGCTCGCCTCGCCAGCAGGCCCACGCACACTTGCGAGCTGTTGGGCGCAAGGATGGCAGGCTACGCATGCTAGCACTAGCAGCAGCTAGTGAGGCCCAGCAAGCTTGCTAGCTGCTGGCCTTACTAGCGCTGCTAGCTAGCAGGCCACGACACACTCGCCCAACAAGCACGCGCATGCTACTGTTGGGTTTGTGGCTAATGCCTCGCATGCTAGCAGCCTTGTACACTAGCCTAGCTCTCGCATGGCTAGGCCACTGTGAGACTAGGGCTATGTATATTGACTTGATATTTGTTGTTTGACTTATTTGCATGTCTCGTTAGTTCCTAGAATTGACTCAACGTTCGATTTTCGGCTTCGACGTTCTAAGCTCAAAATCCGACGTCGGAGTACGTGATCTCTTGTTTGACGTATGAAGACCTTTGGTTTAATTCGTCGCCTTAGTTCGGTTGCACGCTTGGGTGTGACCGGTTGGGTTCAGTCAAAGGAAAGTTGTGAGATTAATATAATTAATCTCACTGATCGGAGATGGCCTCTAGCTCGACTTTCCGATCACTTGGATTTCACTGAATAATTAACTTCGTAATTCATTCTGAACCCTCTATTAATACACTTGTTCGAAGGACACCATTCCTTTCAGTATAAAGTATATATGATAAACTAAGATGAATATAATCCGACAACTAAACATAAACTAATGTGTTTAAAACTCGAATTGATACTGCTACAACTCAACAAAACCCGCTTAGAACACAATTTCAACCCGACCAAAATTAATCCGTATTAAGCCGACCCATTAGTTTTTTTCATCAATCCAAATAATCCGACCCAATTTGACGTGCTACCCAATAAACCAGACCTCTATAATCACCAACCCAATTATAAACCAAATAAAAGTGCACAAAAATATATTGTGAAACTGAACTAACCCAATAATAATCAAAATCGAATTGAGTAGTCATGTCGACCAAATGAACCCTTTTCAAACCGACCTATTTCTAATCGAAACTATTTCATCCTGAATAGAAACTTAGTTGGTAAACTGGATTGTAGTGCTAAACTTAATAATAACATACTTTCCTCCACTCTATTTTACTTCCAACACTACAGTTCCACCCTTGCCAATGCACAATTTAAACAATTGTTATCTTTGATTGCGCTTTGTATAAATTACAAAAATTAAATTTTAGTAAAGTAGTAATTGAGACGAATCCAACAACATCCCACATTAATATATGTTTTCTTAGTAATTAGAGAGAGTATAAATAGTGCCAAAATCATAATGTTGTATGTAAAATGGAGTGGAGGATGTATATGACAAAAATAATCAAAATATATTGCAAAGATTTTCATAACTATATTAGTTCATACAAAAAATTATTAGTAACGAAATTGTCGAAATTGATCAATTATATAAATTAAAAAATAATGAACAGATTCAGTTTAAAAGGGTTGAAACTTAGAATTGAGATAAAAGAGAGTTAAGTTAAGTAAAAATAAGTTTAGTTAACTAAACATAAGTTCAGTTCAATAAAATCAGTAACTTTAAAGAAATATATAATAGAGAATTAGTAAAAATATAATTAGGTAATATTATATGTAGCCCTTAGCGTTGTGAATAAACATTTAACAACTTCCTTATTTGGTATTAATTTAGGAATGCATGATAAAATCACGCGCAAATTAGTGTAATTAATGTTATATTTTCAAATTTTTTTTCCATTCTTAGCTTCTTTTATATAGCCCTTAAGGCTATATATAACATTTTTCAAAATTCAATTCAGTAAAATAATTATGATAAATGAGTATAAAGTACCGTTAAATAGGTAAATAGTACCATTAAATGCTGTAGCAGTATAAATATTTTTCTTATAGTACAAATAAATATGTAAACTGTACATCAAATATTATACTAATGTGGATAATAATACTAGTAAGATAACCTATACTCTAATGGTACAATATACATGCATAATAGTATACAAAAAATACCATTATAACCATAAAAAAAATACCTACGAAGCATTGTTTGGTTTAGTGGTAAAGTTTGTATCTTACAACTATGAAGTTGTGAGATCAAACCCCATTAGAGGCACTTTGGGGTGGGAATTTCCTTACCCTTCCCCCCACTCTCAAAGTGCCTAGCTCGCTAACCCGGGCGAGGAGGACCTGTTAGAGGCTTTGGCCAAAATAATAATAATAATAATAATATACCGAGAGCTTATTATGTACACCCGGGTCAGTTGCTCATTCAATAATATACCAAAAAAAAAAAAAAAACAAATATTCTATAATATACCTTTATGAATGTCAAATAACTATTTTTAAATGTTAAATGACTAAAAAAATACCACTATAACCAAAACTCATATAAGCTATGCACCAAGAGGCTTAAGATGCACTCTAAAAAAATAAGGGGATAAATCTATTCACCTTTTAAATTTAAATTTAAAGGCAACCCCATACCATAAATGTGAAACCTAACATTTAATCATAACTTTAAGTTCCACCAATTTACTCTCTCACAATTTCATAAAATGAAATACAAATGGTTCCATAAAAAAAAGAAAAAGTATCAATAGATGGAGAATAAATCATTAAGAATGTCGGTCTAAACAAACGTCTATCCTATTATTTGGTCTAAACAAACTAATACGTCTATACAAATTATTATATGTTGATGGCCAGGGTTACTTATAGGGGTTATTTTTTATGGGGTTATTTCTGACCGACTTAGTAACCTCTTGACCGACTAAGTAACTCATGAATAAATAACTTTTATAAGCAACCCCTGATTAACTGAGTAACTCCTGAATAAGTAACCACTATAAGTAATCCCTGATTGACTGAGTAACACCTGAATAAGTGAGCTCTATAAGTAACCCCCGTCATACGGTGTGATCAATCACATAGAAAATCACCGATACCTCTATTCTGTGATTTTTTATTTGTCCCATTTTAACAAAAAAAAAAAAATGAGATTTTAATCAAGTAAAACAATATATAATTTAAACAATGTATAATCAAACTAATTTTTTTGATTTGTTTGGCGTTTAATAAACTAATAAATAAGGCCAACAAATAGTTATGGAAGTATTAAATATTATTTTCTATATGGTCACTACCAACCAAATTAATTAATATGCTTTATGGTTTGTTAGTATATCACACGTTCCTTATGAAACAATGAAACATATCCTTTTTTCACCGTGTCAATCTAATCTAAAACCTTACTTTGTTTTATAATTATCAAAATATTATTTATCCTTTTTTATTTTTTTACCATATCTTGGTCAAAAAAAGACATCCAACAGAAATCCTTACCATTCAAATCCATTAGTTACGGAGTTATTACTACAAATGTTAAAAACCTTTTTTGAGCTATTGATTCCCAGATACTTTTCCAGATTTTGCCCCAATCCTCTAAAAAGGAAGGGGCCAAATTTCCTAATTCTCCAAATCTGGGCAACCAATTTCATTTGATTTCTTTCAAATCACCCACAACTGTAAAAAAATTAATTACCCCATTTTTATTTATTATTATTTATTCTCTTTTTCTGGGTTTATGGGGTTTGATTTAAATTTTAAACTTTTAAAATTTAAAATCATTCCCAGATGTCCTTCAGCTGGGTATTTTCTAGGGCACACTTTCTTTGTTTTATTTCTCTTAAAAAATATTTTAAAATAAAAGTTGGTTGTTCTTATTAGTAGGTGGAAAAGGTTTGATTGAATTGATTATTTTATTTATGATTTTGTCGGAATACTCCGGCTTCTCTGTTTCCATCCGTCGTTTTCATCCTTTTGTGGGAGTTGTTTTATTGTTTTTTTTTTTAATCCAGACTTAATTTCGGCAATTAATATTTAAAATATATCATGTTTTTATTTATTTGATCGTCTGGGCTAAAAACTAGTTAGAATAAAAATAACGCAAAAAAGAAAGTGGTGTGATTGTCATAAAATTAAAATTGATTGTAAAGAGAAGAGGGGGAAGAGATCAAGAGAGTACTTGGAATCAAAGACGTGTTGAGCTGTTTGTTACTACCTTACCATTACCATACCTGTCTATCACTTTCCCTACGCCGCTCTCTCTCTCTCCTCTCTTCGTCATCTCCTTGCTATATTTCTCTGCCATAATCATCTCTCTTCAAATGCCAAATTTATTCTTTGTCTTTTAATCACCTCCCAAATTTCCTCATCTTCCAAATCTTACTTTCCATTATTTTTTTTTGTCCCATTTTTGTTGTTTGTTCTTGTTCATTTTCCCTTGAAATCGTTACAATGCCATCGATGTTGTAGCATAAACATTCGCTAAACGCACTACTACAACATTATCTATTGTATTTGTGTAAGTTAACATTGGGTTCGTTCCGAGCTCAAGAAGAACAAGAGTGAAAAAACAAGATGGTACCATGGTGGAGCGGAGGAGCAAAAGACAACCAAAAACTACACAGAGGAACACCAGTTGTAATCAAAATGGAGAACCCAAATTGGTCGATCTCAGAGATCGAAACCCCATCCTCTGATGAAGACGATTTCATGCCTAAGAAATCTAGAAAATTTCGAGGAAAAAATGCTAAACAACTCACCTGGGTTCTACTCCTTAAAGCCCACCGTGCTGCTGGTTGCCTCTCGTCCCTTGCTTCCGCTGTCGGCCGTCGAGTCAAGTCTGGCCGCACCGACTCCACCGACTCACTTCGGACCGAGAACTCCGCTGTTCGTTCTCGTCTTCATACCTTTATTCGGATTTTCTTAGCTATGTCGTTGATCCTTCTTTGTGTTGAGGTTGCTGCTTACTTGAAGGGCTGGCATTTGGCGGATTCCGCACTTTATTTTGATCACATTGTTATGAATGGAAATACCGTTTTCGGGTTCAGGTTTCGGGGTTTCTTCGGATGGATGTATAATAAGTGGGTTTTGATTAGGGTTGGGTACCTTGCTCCACCTCTTCAATGGCTTACTAACTTCTGCATTGTTTTGTTTCTCATCCAGTCTTTGGATAGACTTGTGTTATGTTTAGGATGTTTTTGGATCCGCTTTCGGAAGATCAAACCCGTCCCTAAGATTGATCCTACCACGGATGTCGAGGCCGGCGAGGGTGGCGGGTACTTCCCCATGGTTCTTGTTCAGATCCCCATGTGCAATGAGAAAGAGGTACAATTCGTAAATTTTGATAGTTAACCCTGCTAATTGGGCTTATCTTTGATTTAGTTCAGTGTTTGATTAGTGTATGTTATGTTGTGTTGTGTTGTTTGGTTGGATTAGGTTTATCAACAATCTATAGGTGCAGTGTGTAACTTAGATTGGCCAAAGTCGAAGATGTTAATTCAAGTTTTAGATGATTCGGATGATCCTACAGCTCAAATGTTGATTAGGGAGGAGGTTTATAAGTGGAAATCGGAGGGTGCTAACATCGTATACCGGCATCGAGTGATTCGAGATGGGTACAAAGCTGGCAATCTTAAGTCCGCTATGAATTGCAGCTCGGTTAAGGATTATGAATTTGTTGCCATTTTTGATGCTGATTTTCAACCTACTCCTGATTTCCTTAAGCGGACTGTCATCCATTTTAAGGTAATTATTCGTTTTTTATTGGTTTATATATAACTATGATTGTTTATTTGACTTCGAATTACCATTAGTTAGGTACTTAGGCGTATAGATGAATGTATGATGAGCAAAAGTAGTTGTGTTATGTTATTATTGGTTGAATTACGGAATACAAGAAATGAAAATTTGTGTAGAGGTTTAATGTGGGTGTTCGAATGAAATGGGACAGGATAATGAAGAAGTGGGGTTAGTGCAAGCGAGGTGGTCATTTGTGAACAAGGATGAGAATTTACTAACAAGGTTGCAAAACATAAACTTGACATTCCACTTTGAGGTGGAGCAACAAGTGAATGGGAACTTTATCAACTTCTTCGGCTTTAATGGAACTGCCGGTGTGTGGAGAATTAAGGCGCTTGAGGAATCGGGTGGATGGTTGGAGAGAACGACTGTCGAGGACATGGACATTGCGGTTCGTGCTCATCTTCAAGGCTGGAAGTTTGTCTTCCTCAATGATGTTGAGGTATTCCCTATCCTACCTTTTATTTACTGTCCCTTTCTTACCAGTTGGATTCCCATCTGTTTTTCTTTAATTATCATTGTGTCTCTTTTACTTGATTCATTTGTTAGTTGTGCTAAAAAGACCTAGTCTTTATGATTATTAACTTTAATGATTACTAAATGTATTTTGTTTCCTGGAATATAATTTTTGTAGTGTCAATGTGAATTACCGGAATCTTACGAAGCTTACAGAAAACAGCAACATAGATGGCACTCAGGGCCAATGCAGTTATTCCGTCTTTGTTTGCCCGACATTATCCACTCAAAGGTAATTAAAATAAACTTGGGTCTCACTTGATGTGTATTAAATTGGAACATCAGTAGCATGAATTTGAATTGAAATTTATCCCATGATTAATTTGCAGATATGCTTTTGGAAAAAGGCGAACATGATTTTCCTCTTTTTCCTCTTGAGGAAGTTGATTTTGCCCTTCTACTCTTTCACTCTTTTCTGTATCATCCTCCCAATGACCATGTTCATCCCCGAGGCAGAGCTCCCTGCTTGGGTTGTGTGCTACATTCCAGCCACCATGTCCTTTCTCAACATCCTTCCCGCCCCAAAATCCTTCCCATTTATTGTCCCGTATCTTTTATTTGAGAATACTATGTCGATCACAAAGTTCAATGCCATGATCTCTGGTTTGTTTCAATTGGGTAGTGCATATGAGTGGGTTGTCACCAAGAAGTCAGGCCGTTCATCAGAAGGTGATCTTGTCTCCTTAGGTGAGAAAGAGCAAATCCTTGAAAGGGGCTCTTCACAACCTACCATGGCAGCAATGAAAGAAGAACTACTAAAGCAAGAGCAGAAAGGTTCCAAGAAGAAAAAGAAGCACAATAGAATTTACATGAAGGAATTGTCCCTTGCGTTCCTTCTGTTGACTGCTTCAGCTCGGAGTCTGCTCTCAGCTCAGGGTATCCACTTCTATTTCTTACTCTTTCAAGGGGTTTCATTCTTGCTGGTTGGTCTCGATTTGATTGGTGAACAGGTTGATTGATCAAAGTTGGACATATACAGTTTAGGATTTTGTAGGGGATACAATGAACAGTATTAGTGCAACATAAATCTATGGGGGCAGAAGTGATACTACAGCTACAGCTACAAACCTTTGAGGCTGAAGAAAGAGAAACCAGAGCATATAGCAGGTCGTGATTGTAGGAGATCCAAGAGGGATGAGAGTGAGGCTTCTTTTTAATTCCCCCCGCCCTCAGGTTTCCGGGGCTTGTGCGCCCTATTGATGCAAGAGGTATGCAGGAGGAGTTTCAGTGATGACGCATGAATTCGTTATGGATTAAAGAATTCTAAAGTGTCCTTTCATATGTAAGAAAATTTGCCCATTTTTTAATTTACTTTTGTAATTTATTGCCTTTCTCATTCCTTTTAGTTCTTTGAGGGCCTATTCTTTTGTAAGCAAAAAATTGGTGGCTCTAATTTACATGAATGCACAATATTACAGTTGCGAAGGTGCAACAGCTCAAAATCATCATATTTGCCCTTTTACAACTACCTTCATCCATTCTAACAATATTCTTTAGTTCATCTTTTGCTACATCAGTCGCATGGTTTCCCTTTAGTTCACCTATATTGGGGTGGTCGCATGTTACTACGGAATTTACGGATATAGGTAAAATTGCTTAGGAAGTCATTACCATCAGTTTAATCGATGACCTTTTCACTGAACTAGTTGCGAGTCTTTAAACACTAGGAATAGACCCGGTAAAATTGACGTATACCTGATTACTCGACCCACCTGAAACATCTGAAAAACTGGATTTGCAACCTTTATGACGGAAATTTAGTTTGGCTTACATGAAGCTTCTACTTGGTAGAACTTGAAAATAACTGCTTCAGTATTTTCTTTCGATGTATTACAGCTGTAAGATATGGTAGAATTTAAACTAGAACCTTCAATCAAGCATTTTTTCAGTCACATGCATAGTGAGAATGAGTCCATTATTTCTGGCGTGACTGGCGATTCCCTTAACTAACAGTCCAATTTGGAGCTTATATGGAATTTTACACCCGTGGTTTTGTCATCAAAATATGTCCAGAACCCAATCTTGTTGGGTTGGTTTGTCCGGTCAATTTTTAACCTAATCTTCCAGCTATTTTCCAGTTATGTTGTTAGTTGCATCTCATTTGATGGTTTCAGATATTTGGATTTGTACTTGGAAGCTAGACATGTCAAAAGTGTTAGTTGGGTCGGGTTTGGTTCAAGAATTTTGAATTTGGGTCATTCTAAGTACGTAGTATGTTATTTTTGGGTTTGGGTCAAGTTACACTATTACTTACTTGAATATCTTAGTTCTAGCTCAATCCTAGGTCGATAAATTTTGATAGGACTTTCTATTTTAATTATTTAATTTTGACATATTTCTTCTATTATTTTTTTAATTGCAACATTTAGACTTTTACGCTTGTTATGCACATTTTAGATCATTAGTGGGGTCCACTTATTTGAGTTTTTATCTATGTTGGATATATGTGCAATATACCAACAAGATTTCAGATAATACTTAGATAGTTTATTGGTGTTATTAAACTTTTAATGATCATATTAAGCCTTCTAATGATGCACATAATAGTACAATTAAACATATAAATGGTACATAATGATGTACACTCTAATGGTACCAACAACTTTCCAACCACAAAAAAATACCGTTAGAATTTCTTGGTTTCTCTGTTCATACCCACGTGATTTCTTTCACTCTCTTCTGTCAACTTTTATGTTCAAAGTGATATGTAAAAGGATAACATTACCCCGGTATATACCCATAATTGCTCAAAATAAAATAGCCATTCAACTATGGAGTACAAAATAATTTCTTAGTTAAAATATATCATTTGAAGTATAAAATCAAACTATGGTAAGAATTAAATGAATTGTATTTACGAAGAAAAATTCTTAAGCTAGGTCAAAAACTTGTTGGATCAGGTTTTACCCTTAGTGAGTATATGTTCCTTGTTTAGGATTGGATAAATGAGGTTCCAAGGCTTTTTCCCCCAAAGTCCTTGTTTTCAATTTGGGACTTGGGTTAGGATTGAGTCAAAATTTGACAAGTCCAAGCTGAAACGATCAAACATTGTTTAGAATCAATTTGCAAGTAGATTGATCCAGCTAGCATTGGTCTCGGGTTCAAGCTATAGTTATAGGAATGTATAAGTGCTGTAGGAACTTCCTTAAGTTGGAGTCTTGGAGGGTCAACATTAGTTAAATTTGAACTCATTGTCTACTAAATATCGAGTGAGTATTTAAGAAGAGGAAAAGGAGAGGTGATGAGTCTTGGAGGGTCAACATTAGTTAAATTTGAACTCATTGTCTAATAAATATCGAGTGGGTACTTAAGAAGAGGAAAAGGAGAGGTGGTACAAATATTTTTTTAAAAAAATAATGGAAAATAAAAATAATAATAATAATAAAAAATTTAAAAATTAAAAGAAGCAATGCAAAACCATAAATTATATTGAAGAATTTAATGACTGAATATGCCATCTTATTATGCTTATATGCTTAATAAGTTGTTGTATTATTATGTTCAAAGTCAAAAAAAAAAAAGTGTCTTTATATAGTTTGGATGGATGTGTGTTAGCAATAATAATAATAGGAGTATTAAAATCTTGTGAAATCGAGAAACTAGGGAAAATGACAAAAGCACCGGCAGTTGACTGAAAAAGTCATATAGTGCACCTATTGTATTGATGGACCACCATGAAATTGTATCCATCAAACAATCGAACGTGTTACGTGTAGCAATATCTTCTTACTTTGATGTGAGCAAAACAATTTCTAATTGTGTACTACCTACATGTTCAATTATAGCATCTTGAGAATAGAAGCATTGTATAACCAAACCTCACCATAAAAGGCCAAAACCGGCCCGAAATTAAAGGAACACTATTATTCAACGAAATAACGAGGAGGAAACGATTTACTCCATTTTTTGAAAGCTACATAAGTTAATTTCATCCATTTTAATAAAAGCTACACTTCTTTTTTTTTTTTTTTTAAGAAACCTTTATAATTTAATAATGTATCTTAATTCACTAATTGTCCCACCCTCTCTTACTCTATCATTTCTTAGGGAAGTAGTAATCCAGGAATATTATGTATTTGTAAATATATAATAATGATTAAAATATTCTAAAAACACATAGTAGAGAGAGAAAAGAGGAGAGGGATAGGAATAGAGAGGTTTGTAGGTGGACCCCACCTATTTTTTGGTCAGATTGTCTCACGTGATGGGGGACCACATGCTGATTATTCCACTGAAAACTTATATTGTACTATAAAATCTTCAGTGGTACAATTTATGCATAAAATTAGTACAACTGAATGAATAAATAATACCACTATATGCATATATGGTATCACCGTATGTTCAGTGGTATTATTAGATCATTCAATGATATCAGAATATGCATTCGTTTGTACATATGTGTAATTACATGAATGCCCTTTGTTATGCATTTCTACATGCATAACATTCCTCCCTTTGAAATCCCTCCATTTCTTAGTCCTTTAATGGTCTCCACTCTCTCTCACATCACTTTATTTTTTAATATAATAATAACCCACTATCTTTTATTATATTTTTTTATTACCTTATTTTCCCCATTAACATCTTATTTTATTAAACTTTCTAAAACTCCGCGTAATCCCTACCTTTAAAAAAACGGAGGGGGTATATTACAAGTATCATATTTGGCTAAACAAGCGCTAGCGAGTACCTTTTAATGGTCGAGTAGTGGGTAGCTGAAAGAGTAGCACATAGCTGTTAATTACTTCATCCATGTTTTAATAAATGAAACGTTTCCCTTATGCACATATATGCCAATGCAAAAGTTTGACTGAAAATATCTTTAATTGTAAATAAGTAAAAATTATAACAATTGCATATTAATAAACTATTCATTGAGACGATTCCAACAAGTACCCATAGGATTATATTTATTCTTATGTATAAATCACAAATATTAGTCAAAGTGAATTAAATGAATAGGGCAAAAAGTCAAAACGTTTCATTTATTTAAACACGAAGGGAATAGTGGTGGGTATAGATTTTTTTTTTTTTATTTTTTTATATTTTTTTAAGGAAAACCAGCCAGCTTAGCTATCGTTAATAGTATGAGTGTTTGGTAAAAATAGGGATTGAAATATAAAAATACATTGAAAATCCATAATTAATACTACCTCCGTTTTTTTTTAAGTTGACACCTATTTCTTTTTAGGAAGTTTATTTAGCTGACACGTTTCCTTTTTAGGTAAGTTTTATACTTTGCATTTACTATTCTACCCCACTTGCTTTATCATTCTCTCTCATTCTCTTTCCTCCCCTTAATATGTGTGCCTAAATTATGGAAATGAAGGAAGTGTTTACTCTCTCTGTCCCATAATACATGAAACTGTAGACACCTGATTGTGTCTCTCCAAAAACCAAACCTAGTGATGAGTACCTTTCATGTCTTTGATTATCGAGTTAGGTAAAGAGTTAAGAGTCTCGTGAAATTCCTTTAGCCTTGACAATTTCTAACCTTTCCTTAAATGTTTTAAATCTAAATCATTTATTTTCGTGCCCTTAAACCCAAAATCGTTCATTTCGTGTCCTTAAAATCATTCATTTTGTGTCCACTTTATAAAAATGTCCAAACCTAATTATTTTGGTCCATAATCCTGGTCTAATTATTGTATAGTTATATGGGTTTGAAAAGAGTTTTCCAACAATATATTTGTAGGGTTTCGTAGTGACCCTCACTACGCGGAATGAAACCCCCAAGACGCGCCCCCATAATTAATGCAACTAATACAAGCAAAACATAATTAAAACATAATTAAGAGAAAGGAAAAGAATTATACCCTTGACGCGTGCTTCGCTCTTACACCGAGCTCTTACTTCAACCTCGATAATGCGAGGCCTCCAACGGGATCGTACCCTCGAACCTGACCCGATCTTCCTAATCCTCGAAGGTTAGTCAAGGCCCGAACAAAATATAAACTTGGAGTTTTACGAATTTCAAGGTATACTCAATAATGGAGTTTCCTTTACTTTTCCACTCAAGTGTCTTCTTTCCCAAATACCCAAGCCTTGGTATTTATAGGGAAAAGGGACTTGAAACCCTTGTTCATGATCAATGTGGGATCATGTACAATTTTGATAATTTATTTAATTCTAAATTAAATGATTAATCAATTTAATCACAATACAATAAGTGGCAAAAGGGTAGAGAGAGTTAGGTTAGGACCATGTCCCTTGGGGGGGACCATTGCCTTGCTCCCCAAGGCATGGCTCTAAGCCTTGGTCCCCACTCTCCTCAAACCGCCTCAAGCAAAGCAGCTGGGCTGGCTGCCAGCTAGCTCGCCAGCACGCACCAGCTGGCATCACGCACAGCCCCCAGCCAGCACATGCGTGCTGCTAGCGAGCCACGCATGCTGCTGTGCTGGGCGAGGCCCTTGGCTGATGCTGCTTGCTGCCTGGCGCT